GTGTTGAGATTGGAGATCTTTGAGATGTAAGAAACTTTAATGGACCTTGACTTTTCAGTACAATTCCTAACAGATAGATTCCTAAGATGTCAATCATAATCATTACCATCATAATCATCACCACCTGTTGTTTGCACAGTTCTTAATCGCTATGGAAGTCTGAGCAACCTAAAGGTGGTAACAAGTGCAAGGTGTCATCTGAGATAAGGAAGAACTAGGAAATAACCTCAAAAAAAATTTCTTCATAAAGTAGAAAAATTGTGAGGACACGCAGAGTGCCAGTGATAAGTTTAAAAGAATGAAGGTGGTCAGGTGGGAGATTTACAGAGGTAGAAGAAAGATCTGTATTCCACATAATTTTTAAGGGTTGAACATTTAGTAATAAGGCCTTTAATTCCAGTTTATCACCACTAATCTCCTGCTAAGATGTTAAAGCCTCGTTTTTCTTTGCCTTCTGCACTTAATACTGCAGCCAAACAGCTATGCCCAGTTGCCACAACAGCGATGCCCAGTTCTCTAATTCTAGTATGAATAGTCTTTCTCCTCATTCTGGAAAAAGAGTGCAACTCCAGATAGCTGCTTCTGAGAGCAGGCCATATATATTCACACTCTAAAACACTTTGTCTGTATGAGCGCTCATAAAGCGCATACAACTTAGCTGGAGTTAAACAACCCAGAATAACATTGTAAGTTCTAGCCCCTGAGGTAAAGCAACTGACGTTGGAGGTTATTCTAGAATGAAAATCCAGATAAAGTGCAACACATTTAAAATTATGTCAGATAAGGAATAGAGATTGCCTCAACAAGTAAAAGAGATGATTCAATAAAAAAGATGACTCAAGAAGTACAAAATAGCTGGTGATGCGCTGGAACCAGCTCCTACCAGCTCACAAGAGCAGATTGTTAAATGTTTGGGAATTTTGCAGCCTGGCTGATATCATGTGGGTAGCTTGATATAAGCTGTGGAGGGAGAAGTTACACCACGGAAATTAACAAGTGCTACAAATGCGTTTTTTCTGGAGAGCTGGTTGTTGAACATTTACTAACATATCTGTGAAGTTAGCTGTCTCCAATTATTTGCGGGCTTTTTTTGGAATGAGATTATATTTGGTTATAAGGAATGCGTCTCAAGGCTTTGCAATACAGTATCTGCAAAGGCAAATGAAAATAAACTCCCAGGAACTCCAGAGACATGCTCCAAAGTGGCAAGGAATCTAAGCAAATATTGAATGTTTAAAACAATGAGGGTATATAATAATGGCAAAACTAAGATCCCGGACAACAATAAATGCATGTTAACTAACCAGTGAGTAGTCTTAAAAATGTAAAGTTCATGTATTTATTAGAAGGAGAGCTAGAATACTGAAAAAATTAAACTTCATCAAGTAAAAGGGCTAAGTATACAGTAAAAGCATGAATAAAAGTCAAAGATGAAAAGTCAAAGAGTAACCATAAACATTTGTAAAGAAAGTTCTAAAGCTCGCAAAACAGTAAATGGAACATAATGAAACAGGAAAACAAAACAGAAAGCAATTTAAAAAACAGCGCACACACCGAAAAAGAAAACACACACACACACACACACACACACACACACACAAACTCAACAAATAAAGCAAAAAGCATAAAAGGGAAAAAAAGCATGTAAAACTAGAACAAACAGTATGTTACATGGTAGAAAATAAGCATTTATATAAATCAATATTACATAGTTCAATAAAATGTAAATGACTAAACTTACCATTAAAAGAATGAGACTGTAGAAATGGATTAAAACACAAAATTCAGTTAAGTGATTATGAAAGTCACACCTAGAACATAAAGACACAGAAAGGTTGAAAGTACAAAGGTGGAAAAAGCTGGTATATTTATATTTAATATCAGATAACAAAGTCTTTAAGGTAAGACTGAATAAAGAAAATGTGGCACATATACACCATGGAATACTATGCAGCCACAAAAAGGATGAGTTCATGTCCTTTGCAGGGATATGGATGAAGCTGGAAACCATCATTCTCAGCAAACTAACACAAGAAAAGAAAACCAAACAGTACATGTTCTCACTTGTAAGTGGGAGCTGAATAATGAGAACACATGGACACAGGGAGGGGAGCATCACACACCAGGGCCTGTCAGGGGGTGGGGGGCTAGGGTAGAGATAGCATTAGGAGAAATACCTAATGTAGATCTACGGGGTGATGGCTGCAGCAAACTACCATGGCACATGTATAACCGTGTAACAATCGTACCCATTCTGCACATGTACCCCAGGACTTAAAGTATGATTAAAAAAAAAGAAAAACTGACAGAACTATAGAGACTTGTATCATCCTGATCATGTAAAATTTCAATAGAAATATTTCAATTAGTTTAAATAAAATTTAAAATGTAAGTAAATATAAAGATTTTAGGAAAATAATAAGCTGAATTTATGGGGCAAAAAATAGAACCTGGATACAAGTAAATAGAGAATTTGTTGATTCTTCTCAAACTCACATTAAGTATTTATAAAAATTAACTTGTGTACCAAGCCATAAAGCACATCTCAACATGTTTAGAGGAAAAATAGAATCAATACAGGCCATATTCTCCAATCATTATGCAATTAAGTTGGAGGTCAGTAACAAAAAAGATAAATTTAAATATTTCTGAAGTTTGTAAATTTCAAAAACACACCTCTCAATTATCTATGTGCCAAAGAAGAAATCCTAATGGGAAATTGAGAAATACTTAAAAATAAGTTGTAATGAAAGATCTACCTATCAATATTTGTAGAAGAGGGCCAAGGTAGAAATTACAGAAAAATTTACAGCTTCAGTATGTTATTAGAAAGGAAGAATGGCTGAAAACTGATGATCTGACATATAAATAAAAGGTTTTAAAAAGGAACAAATAGAGGAAAAATAAAAGCAAAAATCATGGAAACAAAACATAAAGATAGAATCGGATCAGCAAAGGGTTAAGGCAAAAGTTAGTTTTTTGAAACAGCAAGTATAATAAAGAGAATTCTGGTAAGGTTGATTCATAAAAAGATATTCATAGAAAGAAACAATACTAGAAATTATTTAGAATAGATTTAAAAAGGGAATACTAAATACTTTTGTGACAATAATTTTTAAAACTTAAGTAAAATGAAAAGTTCCTAGAAAAACATAACTTAATAAATTTAAGAAGAAAATTTAAGTAGCAAAAGACTACTTAAACAGTGATAGACTTTGTATAAAATCTAAAAACAAGCAAGAAATTAAATAACTTATTCTTTGGAGATACATACATTTGGTGACAAGATTAATTTTACAAAACAAAAGAAATCATAAACACAAAATTCAGATTAATGGTCACCTTGGGCATAGGAACATAAGAAGGTAATAAAGGAAAATCTACTAAGTAGATGCAAGAGCACTGGCTATGTCCTTTTTTCTCTAGCCCACAACTGTTTGTTGCATTATTATGCTTAATAAAGTACATTTATGTTATCTGTAAGTTGTGAACATGACATAGCTTTTAAAATAAAAATTTCAATTTTAAAAATATTTGTGCTTATTATATAAAGACTAATTACAGAGCTCTCCAAAAGCTAGGTGGGGGCTTCTGGGGCAGAGGAATTGGGTAAAATGTTTAATTGGTAGTGAGTTTCTTGTCACTGGAGTTATTCAAGTACAGAGGAGAAAACTCTTTTAAATTAGTATGAATACTTAAAGTAAACAAGTATTGCTTGGTTGATTGAATTAACTTCCATCTACATCTGAAATACTATAATTTCTTGGCTCAGTTGTTAAGCAAACTAATTTAACTGTTCACGTTAGCCAATTTGTTAAAAATATGAAGTCCAGATAGATACTGCCCTTGTCTGCCAATTCCAGAATTAGAATAAATCAGTTACTCCCAGAAAAAGCTAGGGATCAACTTTACCCAGCAAATCACTTGCTTCTGTTTTTTTCTTAATAATTTAATCATTCGTTACATGTTTTTCCTTGGTAAGGCAGGGGAGAGGAAAGGAGGGGTGGGATAGCTATATATTTTTAGCATTTTCATGAAGCTCAATTTTATGCAACTAATTATCTAAAGATAGTATTGAAGCTAATTTTAGCAGGTAATAAGTTTAGGCAGGATCTTAGAGAATATTCTGCCTTTTAATCTTCATAGGTTCCAGAATTGAAAGTAGAAAGTCACTTTTCTAAAAGTGTTGCCAAACGTCCCTCGGTCCTTCACTATCAAGGAGGGGAATGCCAACAAAAGTGCTGGGCTGTCACCTCAGGGAACATTTAAAACTAAGTTAAAAGCATAGATTAAATAAATTCATTTATGCCAACTGCCAAAAGGCAAGGGCAATCTTCAGAGTCTGGAAATGACAGAAGGCAGGCAAGATATGCATGAGGGGGTGGATATTCTGGCATTTACTAAATCCCCGCTGGAAACATAGCCGATTTCTTAGATCACTCTGTTCAGTCAATTATCCCTGCAGATAACCCTATTGGAAGTACCTCCCACCTACAGAAATCTGCCTAGGGTTTGCTAACCCACCTGGTTATTAATTACAGGAAAAAAAAAAAAAGAGGATCACTGAATACAACCCATAAGGGCTAGTTTTCTCTCAGGTGGGCTGACAAAAGGAACTGATGCTGAAGACTGAAAATAGCCCCAGCCCTTCACTTATTATTAGCCCTCTTAGCGATGTGTCATATGGTGAGTTGTGTCTTCTTTGGAGAAAGTCAATCATGTCACTCTGTTGAGAAAAGAATGGTGAACAGCAAGGAGACTTTTGCAATGAAATAATGCAAACTATTCCAGACATGCATAACGGTTCTATTTGCTGTGTTCCTTAGGTCAGGGTGTAAGAAACCCAATCTTGAAGGAAAATGCAGTAGTTTATCTTGCCCCAGAAATCGCTGCTGGTACACAGGGATTTGGCTATTCAGCTGGAAGTAACCCAAAAAAAAAAAAAAAAAAAAAAAAAAAAAAAAAAAAAAAACCCTTATTGGGTCACATGACCCTACCAGTTCTCAAGTCAGATCTCTTTTCTTAAGGGCACTGTGTGGAGCTTCTGAGATCTGCGGAGGTTTTCTCTGCAAATACAGGAAGAAAGCAGGTGGATGAATGCATAATGATGGCCCTGCTTCTGGCCTCTTTGCTGGCATTCCTGAGTTTGGGATCAGGATGTCACCATCGGATCTGTCACTGCTCTAACAGAGCTTTTCTCTGCCAAGAGAGCAAGGTGACAGAGATTCCTTCTGACCTCCCGAGGAATGCAGTCCAGCTGTGAGTATCAGAGGGAGTGGGAACAACTGCATGGCTGGCATTTGTGCGTTGAGTACTATTATTATTTTTACATTAGGCTAATATCTGTTAGGCTAAAACATTTCTGCCCCTTGACCAAAGTCCTGAATAAAACAAGACTCCCCAGCCCAACTCTCCTGCCTTGTGGCTTTCCAAAAATCTTAGATGAGAGTTTGTCAGGGAACAGCAGTGTGAAAACCTGAATCCAAAGGCAAAGGGAAAAGTTTTTAGTCTTTTCACTGCATTTGCTCTTTGGTTTCATACTGCCTTTAGTGGAACCAGAAAAGGAAAATTATGGCAAAGTAGAAACTTAGGAGACCTAGAATTGGAGGCAGAAAGGTGGCTTTGATGTAAGCAGAATACACAAGCTATGTCGCCTGAGGACACTGAATCTAAAAGGCCAGAGTCTTTGCAGCTTTGAAGATACCAGCAAATAATTCCTGAACTAAGATTCTACTTCTGAGGGTAAAAAGGAGGTGGTGGAGAGGAGAAAGTGCGTGAAGAAAGTAAGACAGGAAAGAAGCAGAGAGATGGAGAAATACAGGATAATCTTTTACACAGCTGGAAAAAATGTGATTAGTAATTTAGAAACTTAACTATTTTAACAGGAAGTAGACTTCTAGAGTTGGACAGGAATTTAGGCACGATCTCACTCTATCTCTTTCATTTGTAAATTAGAAATTTGGTGTCTGAAGAGTAAAGAGGACTTTCCAAACTCTTATGATGAGTTGAGATGGAGCCAAAACTGGAAATCAGGCCTTTTGATTCACAGTCTACTATTTTGTTTTGTTTTATTTTCTCAATTCCCTGTGTCCTACTCCATTAGAGCAACAGTGAGGCAAATTGTCCAGTTACTGCTTCCCCTGAGAACTGGCAAGTTGGGACTCAGGGACTTTAGATACCCTCTTTGTTTTTATTCCAAGGATTTTAAACAGAAGCCTGTTTCAATCTTTGTCACTTAAACCTATGGACAATTTGTATTTAATTGAAGAAGGTAGTCATTTCTTCAGTTCACCAATTACCATGTTTGCACTAAAACATGTTAGTGTTGCATTTCAGATTTTCACCCAGGGACAATGAGTTGCAGAATTACAGACCTGGTTGACTCTTCTTGCCACTTTTCCCCTTAACATCTCAAGTCTTCAGTTCTTATCCAGAGGCAGCTGCAGAGGCAGGGAAAATAGCTGGCCAGTTCTGTGTTTTGGCTACACTGTCTCAGATTAGACAGTTTCTCCTGATTATGCTGAAGAATGTGCCCATGTACAAAAACAGTCTAGTTTATTAGGTAAATATAAGCATGGGAGAAGGCCAATGTACCTGAGCTCCTAAAAGTCATTTGCTCCTGAGTGACTCTGAACAATTACTTAACACCTTCTGAGCCTCAAGTTCCTCATTTCTGAAGCCATTTTAATGCAACCTGCTTGGTTGAATTGTTGTGAACACTAAAAGATATAGATGCACCCCTGCACCATAATTTCCACCTCTCTGGGACATACTCCACTTCTTCCAATGTTTCTATGTGGGCCAATCAGTGCCATCCAGTTGGTAAAGCAAACAGTCCCAAACAAGTTTTAATTTTAGGGTGATTCCACATTAGCCTGTCTGCTTTCTGAAATGTCATTACCAGAAGAGAGATTTTCTTTTTTTTTGTCTGCAAAGAAAACATAGGGGAAAACAAAGAGGAAGAGATGGAGGGAGAAAGGAAAAGAGAAAGAAAAGAAAGAGAAGAAAGAAAATTCACCCTCATACCTTAAACCTTCAGGAAGTATATTTGTATGAATTACTATGAGAGGAGCAGGATAATGAATTTTTGAAAAAAGATAATACTAAGGTATAAATGACTAAAACATATCTCTGGCCAAGAGCATTTTGCAACTAAGGAAAGAGAGCATGAGGTATTGAGATAGTATGGAAAGAGATGGTGGGAAAGAGCATGATGGACAGAGCACCAGAAACAAATTTCACAATCTCGACAAAGGCTAGCTCTGGGTCAATTCCTTACTTCGGTGTATGTAACAGAAGACAAAGTTGCATAAAACTAAGAAAGGGAAAGAAAGTGCTTGCCAGTTGGTACCATTTTCCCCCACCTATGGAAGGAATATAGTTAAGAGCTTTAGAAGCTCTCCCAGATACCCAATCTTCGCAAGATTCTCTCCCCTCCACACTCATTGGTAGGGCTTGAGTAGGACCATCCTAGAGTTTGGCTTTGCAATCTTCTTGGAAAGGTGTACTAAGACAAGAAGAGAAATTTTTCTTTGTCTATTAAATTTTTAAAAAGGAAAATTTTTTTAGGTCAGTGTGTTAATCACTGAAGAGCAGATAAAATGTCAAGCGAATTAGAACTTGGACATACTGTTCGAATGAAAGAGCAATTGCCTTTATTTCTGCTTCCTTAAAAAGACCGAATCAAGGTTATCTAAGACATTGGCAGAAGAAAGATGAAATGGCCTGCTCAACTAAGTATCTCTAATTCACCTTATAGTCTTCCAAGTTTGGGTATCGACTTTAATGATGATTGCATAAATGTAGGTAGATGGATTATTGGACTTCATTGACCACAACTGCTTAATCCATCAACATGTCACAGCTTCACTGTTACGCAGGCTCACCTGGTGGAAAACAAATCCTACATTTTACTATGTACATTTTTATCCTATCATTCCATTCACCTTGCAGCAGTTTCATTTCATTTGATATATCTGCTAGATATCACAAACATTGCTAATTTCCTATGATCTGCACATGCTGATCTTAACGCTAAAAGCACAGAAGCACCATCAACAGGAAGGTAGATTTCATTTACTAGGGAGCTCCTACTATTTGCTTTATGCACTGTGTTTTGCATATACCACTTCATTAGAACTTCACAAAAAACTGCAAGTTTGGTATTATTGCTCTGTTTTTCAAATAAGACAAACCAAAGCACAAAAAAGGTGAGTAACTTGGGCAGTTATCCCTGCAGCTCCTGGATAGCAGAGCTGGGATCCAAACTTGAGTCTTTTATATCTCCTCTGCATGCCATATGACATGAACATCATTTGACTCTGTACCTTTCTTATTCTAGGGAAAAATTAAGTAGTCCTTTCCATTTTTTTTTTTTTTTTGAGCCGGAGTTTCGCTCTTGTTACCCAGGCTGGAGTGCAAAGGCGCGATCTCGGCTCACCGCAACCTCCGCCTCCTGGGTTCAAGCAATTCTCCTGCCTCAGCCTCCCAAGTAGCTGGGACTACAGGCGTGCGCCACCATGCCCAGCTAATTTTTGTATTTTTAGTAGAGACCGGGTTTCACTATGTTGACCAGGATGGTCTCGATCTCTTGACCTCGTGATCCACCTGCCTCGGCCTCCTAAAGTGCCGGGATTATAGGCATGAGCCACCACACCCAGCCTAGGCCTTTACTTTTTAAACCAGAAATCAGCTTTATGGGCTATACAATCTCTTGCAACTATTCATCTCTATCACAGTAACAGAAAAGGAGCCATAAACAACATGTAAATTACTGAACATAGACTTGTTCCAAGAAAACTTTATGAACACAGAATTTGAATTTCATATAACTGTCATGTCACAAAGAAAGCATTATTTTTATTTTTTCCAACCACGTAAAACTATGAGAAAGATTTTTAGCTCATTGGCCGTAAAAAACATGGGACAAGCCAAATTTGGCCCTAGACTATATATTGCCCCCTTCTGATTTAGACTACAGCGGAGAGATTGGATAAATATTACTGGTTTGAGTGGGATTTAGGCAGCCTAAGGCCGCAAGGCACCATGGAGAAACTACTAACCTAGGTGAGCAGGATCACTCATGGGCAGCCTTAAAATGGCTCTGATGAGTCAGAGATGGTAGAGCACAGTGTCTAAAATTTGAGATACCTGAGTTTAAGCCCAGGATTTGCCATTAAATTTTAACCCTGTTATCTGGACCCTTGGCTGTGTAATGGAAATTACCATGTGTGCCTACCTGGCAGAGTTGCTATGAGGATTACATGAGACAATACAGGTAAAACCCTTGGTACAATGTTTCTCACGTTGTTGTTATTGTTGATGAGGATAATGTTGCTCCCAACTGTAGAATATTAGGCAAAAATTGCCTACCACAGAGGGCTTTCGTGAGGATCAAGTCAGTCAAGAGGTATGAGACTGATTTGGAAAATTGATATAAAGATCTTTGTAACTCTGAGGTAGTTTGCAACCTCCCCTTTGTTTAAGAACAATCTCCCCCCAGTGTATGTAGCACTTAATTTCCATGGACTTACTTTCTGGGTAAGAAAATGTGTCCCTTAATGCTGTCAATATTGGCCAAGAACTCAGGGAGCAGGTTCATTCTAACCATAGCCAAAGGAATTGTGGTTTCTGACTTATCCTAGAAACTCAGCTTTACCTAGAGGTGGTCAGCGGATCTAGAAAAGTGCCTTTGATCTTACTTTATTCTTCCTGGAGTTAGAATTCCTAAGGAGAATGCAAACACCCATTCTACATCTGAAATTTGAAGCCTAAGCAACAGTATGGATGCAATGATCTTCTTCTTCAGCAGGGTCAGATGATTATAATACTGAAGAAGAAAAGGGTCTATTGATGGTTATCTTGTCTTAGGGAGACCTGTCCTGAGATTATATTATAGACTACCTATGTTAAACCCTGTCCTAATAGCAAGTTCCCATATCTCGTTGCAATCTCATTTCACTAGCATTTACTTCTAATTATCTTTTCCCCCTTTTACTTTCTTTTTGCCTTATATTCCTTGTTTTCTTGTCCTGGTTTAGATCTCCATATTCCATAACCATAGATTATTTAGTTACGAATTTTAAAGTGTGTCTAGGTGAGGCTTTGATAGGTCCCTAGTTCTGAGGAATGTATCAGTCGTATACAAAAAGGGTAGCCTTTGCTATACTGAGGTGTTCTGTGATGTCCAACAGTGAAACAGATTTTTTGATGTTTGCAAACATACTTAACTCCACCATTTTCTAAGAGCATTCTGAGGG